TAAGGGCACTTCTGTTAAAACTGCTTTCTGAGATATTATCGTTAAAGTCTTTTGGTGTGTGACAACTTTCTTGTTGTTGCAGTAATATTTAAAAAAGGAATATTGTTGTGGTATTGAAAAAATTGTTGTATATTCTGTAGTAGTAGTTCCTTCAAGCGATGCATTTCATGAAAATTTTGTACAAAATTCCTTAGGCGCCGAACGCCGCCGCCGCCGCCGTCGCGCCGATATTTTCGTAACTCGGCGGCGGCGCGTGAGTAATGACGAAAAACGGCGGCGGCGGCGGCGTGGCTCGGCGGCGTATACCTCTAGTATTTACATATAGTTCGTTCTATTTTCAAAAGTGAGGTGTCAAATGACAGGGCTTGGCCTGTAGACGTGTAATAAAGTTTTTTATTTTAGGTGGCAACCCTATTCACAATATTTTTAAGCTAAAGCCTTCTTAAACCTCTTTCGTCTGACTCCCTTATGGTGATACCTATCTATTTCAATTACCTAATTCCTTTAGTTCAAGTGGAATTTGATTTTTAAACAGCATGCATGTAGTTAATATACATTTCGATTGATACCCATCTCTTAATAATTCATTTAACTTATAAAAAAATTTTATCTAATTTTTAAACAATATAATTTCTTAACAGGTGGCAACTCTTAAAAAAAAATAAACCTTCTATTGTCCACAGGTCATTTTTGATAATGAAACGAATCGTACAGATCTCAAGGCACTGGCAAAAAATAAAAAAATCATTTTATGCATTAGCGAAAAACGCATTACTTCAGAAAGTGCAAAAAATGAGCTGGTTTTTATTTCTTCTTTTGAACGCTAAAAACCCGTACTATTTAATAAAATAATAAAAAACAACCTATTTTTACATATATTTTTTATTCATTCCATTAAAATTTAGCATTTTTTGAAATTTTGTTTAAAAAAATTGGTTTTCTGTGGTTAAATTTAATTTACTAAATTTTAATTCCTGTAATTCTCTACTATCTAATATGGAAACAAGAAAAGTCAAACCAACATTTTATTTCAAAGAATGTATTTTTGACATTTTTTTCTGTGAAGATCTTACGCATGGCTATGCTCTTATTAAAATTCTTAGTATAAAATTTGTTGACTTTAGTGGCTTCCTGGCGACATATAATTAAATTTTTAGAACAATGTCTGTTTAATTCTTTTTAGTGGATAAATTGTCTTTATAAAAATACCAAACAAGTTCACATTGCTGATAACGAATTTTTCGATTTTCGCCCACTTAGGCGGCACTGTGCAACGTTTTGATTTGATGGCACTAAATAAACCCTTATTAGTAGATAGCTTTGATTTCGATAAATCCAAAGGTTTCGAAATTGGTCATACGGATGTCGTCTTCGTTTTCGTGACTGTTGAGCTTGTTGGAGTTTTGTAAAACTTATTTGCATGTTTAAAAAAAAGTAAATAAAGAGGCATATGCTGTTGTGGTGTCAAATTAAATACAAACATTTGACGTAAAGTTGAAAATGCGAAAAAATTAAACGTTAAAAAATTAGCAAACAGCGTTTCAGTCTCATCGATTTTTTGCAGTGCAAATGTAAATGTAAAGAATTGCGATCAATTGCTCTGATTCAGTACTCCATGAAATTATAGGTTTTTACACGAACTTGCAAGAAGTTACAGGAAAAATGTTCCCGTACTCCAAAATCCTGTAAATGAGAGTGATGTTTGGAGAGTTGTGTGGAGAATGAAGTTGCATGAACTTTTTCTTCTGGTAAAATCTTGAAACTTGTCAAGCGATCAGCTGTTGACTTTTTATATGAGAAATGCTTTTTTTGTTCACGTACTTTTTGGTTGGTACTCACTTTTTACTCTCACTTCAGAGAGTAATTTTGATGTTTGACATTTTTACAGGATTTTACACGAAAAGTATTGGACCAGAGATATTATGAATAAAATCGCTAAATGCTGGCTAAGAGCTCCTAAATAAACAATAAAGTGTCGCTAGTCACCAAAATTTACCACTAAGTATAAAATAAAGTCGCTAGATCTAATGGGAAAATCGCTGAAATGGCAACACTGTGTAGACCGAATAAAAAACTAGAGAAGGGATATTATTACCTTATTTAGTGTGAATGTAAAAAAAAATATTTTTTTTAGGCGCCCAACCAAAACTTAGTATTTCGTGCAATATATGCATATGTACATTAGGGTGGTCCAAAAATGCTTTGAAAAGGTAAAGTCGGAACTTTTATGATCTCACCCCGTAGGATTGTTCCATACCGAAAAAATACCCTAATTTGTTTATTTTGAAATCAAAAAATATTTCGAGGTCGCTTAAGGCGCCTAAAGTTTTCCATGTATTTTATATGGGGAAAAAACAACTTTTCGTAGAAATGGTATAGAATAGTTGAAAATCAATATTTTCTACCAGAAAACTCTGTTTATCTGCAGGAGATTCCCTATTATATTACCCAATTGTTTATTTAACCATTTTTCATCGGAACTATAATTTATAGGTCCGCCAAAACCCCACAAAAACCCCGAAAACTGCAATGCAGCGACCAATAAAAAATCGTTAGTATTAAAAAATGGTTAAATAAACAATTTGGTATTATTACTGAAAGTCTCTTGAAGAGAACCAGAGTTTTCCGATCGAAAAATATTGATTTTCAAGAATTCTATACGATTTCTACAAAAAATTTTATTTTTCCCATATAAAAATACATGGAAAACTGTGAGCGCTTTGAGCGATATACTTTTTTCGATATAGAACAATCTTAGGGGGTAAGAGCATTATAATTCCGACTTTACTGTTTTTGGACCATCCTAATGTACATACGTATATGGGTATCCATATTTTTCAATATTTACGTAGATTTTTCCCAAATTAGCGATATTTGTCAAAACTATGGGAAGGGAAGGCAATTAAAAAGCAGAGCTACCTCTCGGCTTACAAAAATCACGCTCTACAAATCCCTCATGATACCCGTCCGTTTTATATAGCGCAAAACCTGGGCAGCGTAGAGAAAAAATTTTATGGCCGTGACGCTACATTGAAAACATACTCCGACTCGGCATCCTTTGGGTAACAATAAACGCAATGGCGCGAACGACCATAATAGGAGTATCAAGACAAGAGGGACTTGTGTGCACTTCTATGATCAACTGGAACAACTTCGCAAAGATAAAGAGGCTATTGGCGAAGCTGTTTGGTATCGGCCCAAACCGACAAACAATTGAAGCGCCTTATAAGAAAGGAGACATAAATACATGCCGCTGGTGAGGTAATCCGGCTGTACTTACGTCAAGTCGTTTGTGTTTTTCCATCCTCTGTTGTGAGCACCCAACTACTACAAAGTCACAATAATACTTTTGTTAATTCGAGCGGCGATTCATCCCCGAAAGCTACTTGCTTATCTTTCTCGCCTAAATCCCTGCCCACACACCTTATATTTCATAAAGCGTCAGACCAAGTTGTCAGCTGACCATATGACCTTTGGCTGGGCGGAGTTATTCAAAGGCCTCTTCTCGAACGAAGTGCTTTGGATACCGGGCGATCTATCAAGCTACTAAGCTTTATTCTTTTGAACACGTACATATCTTAAGTCCGTTTTGCTCCATCACGTCAGTTGTTTTATTCTAAACACGTGACGGACTTTACGTGAGGGACCTTATTTTTTTAAATATTAATGGATTTACTTTTATCTTGGTATCCAGGGGTACTTGGGCCCGCTGATTACGAACATGAAGTCAGTTAAATCAGTCAAATTAAAGAAAAAAATTTTGTTTTTAGATTTGGTAACTTTGACAGCCAATTTGTCACATTATGTTCGCCATGTTTTTTGAGGTTACAACAAAATTCTGACGGGGTGGATCAAGACGGACTACAGATTTGTGTTCAGCGATTAAGGCAAGCAAATCCAAGGATTTTCGGGACCTAACAAACACCGAAATCGCGGGATTGGCATCGCTAATACCTACATAGTTGTGTGAATAAAAATTCAACGACTGCACGGGCTTGGTCATGTTGTACGCATGGATAACGGGGCTCCAGTGAAAATATCCTTCCATTCGACATCCATCGGTAGACACCGAAATAAAGGGCGCACACGAAGACAATGGACGGACCAAGGGCAGAAGGACCTGTCTGCACTCGGGATGTACAACAGGCGTATCGGCCCAAACCGATTTCTAGACCTTAATGAGAACAATCCGAATTGTTGCTGTCTTCGGTCGCCGACCTACTAACATAGCCGCCATTCTTCAGACGCGTCCCTAGGTCAGTTGGGCGGGAGGTAGGTCGCGCAGAGGTTCGTCGTACAAAAAAAGTAAATAGGACTGGAGGGAGAACGAGTACAAGATGAAGTATCTATTGCAACACGTAGTCTCTTGATACACAAGTAGAATACCGCCGTGGACTCTGTGAACTGCTGAAACACATAGCGCTCTCTCGAGGAATGAAAATCACACGTATATAGCGCAGACGCGTGGACGATGGCAGGATCTGATGAGACGGCGCTAGGAGTGTTGAATATTAGATAGGTCCCTGATTCATATCTGGCTTGAAGAGCCTAGAAAGTATTCATAATGGTTGCCGCTGGTGATAGCAGTGGAAGGAGGTGGAGAAGGAATGAAGGTGGACAAACTCTCCTAGTTTGAGCTGAGTTAACTATATAGCAAATTCTCATATTACTTACCAAAAACAATAACCTAAAGAATTGGTATACCGAGAGATAGGTGGGCAGATTTTAATTGGTTAAGACGTACTAGTAACTCATTTTATATATGTAAATAATAGTTACGTTTATCAAAACTAGTCGTACTACATTCAAAACGTAAACATATTTAGAAGAGAAAAGTATTCCACTTGATAAAGAATAAGTATGAATGAAATATAAACAACACAAAAGATTTAAAAATTTGCCACACATCTATATTTGCAGATTTTTCTTGAACGAAGGAAACCTAAATCTAATATTCTTTACTTTTCCTCTTTCGCCATTATCTTGTTGGTGCATCGTAGGTCCGGGACTGGCATTTTTGGTGTATCCTTCGGCTGTGTTACAACTTCCTGGCTCACCACTATGGTCGTGTTTATTCTTCTTTATGCTTCTTCTAATTGGTCTCGATTCACAGTTTTGTACTATGGAAGGCTTCATTACTGCCATTATTGACGAGTGGCCACAACTGTTGCGGAAGCGCAAAGAAATATTCATAGCTGTAGTCTGCACGCTTAGTTATCTAGTGGGACTTACGTGTATATCACAGGTCAGTATATTTATGTTATGTTTGTACATGAGTGAGTGGAAAATTTAGCGTATTACTTACGGAATTGCGCATATTCGTGGAAATGCGCGTCAAACACTTATTTATACTCACAATAGGGGTATTCTCGAAGTCTTGCACGATGCACGGATTGCACGAAATGCAAAAATACTATTCCAAATTTCGAAGAGTACGAGAACACCCCATTGCAAAGTGGTAGCATGCATGGGGAGCAAGCAGCGAAATTATGTATCAAATACAATAACAAGAGACAGCAAAAAAAAATTAAGTGAGCGAGATGAGAGGAATGAGAGAAATATGTAGCAATTCCAACAACAAAACAACTAGCACAGGGTCGCTATTATCTTGCTATGCTATTTTGCAAAATATATACATGGGTTTCGACGTTGCATATTTTGCAGCGATAGGAAATGTTGTTTCCCATGAATTTTCTTGTTGTGTGTTTGCAATTTATGCAATCCGTGCAATCCGTGCTACGTGCAATGTCTTTGCAAGATTTGGAGAATACCCCTAATGTGTGCTCTGTTTTCCAGAGCAGTTGCAAGTAAGTAAAAGCATGTTCACATTATCGTAATTTATGGCATATTTGTAATTGATAAGCAAATCATGCTGAAGTCAAGTAATTTCGCTTTGTAAAATCTATCAATAAATTAAATAGACATTAGATAATTTATCATAAATCAAGAACCAAATGAAGAAAGTAAAGATTTTTAATTTATTTTAGCCCCTTCTGTTGAGGAAATTTAAGAAAATGCCTAGAGTATGCAACCATTTCTTTTTTTAATTCAAGTACAAACCACACACTCCTACGTACACGTGTTAATCATATATCTATCGAAATTATGAAAGAAAATGTGAACGTACTTGGATTATGTGAAGTAATTTGATCGAAACAAAGTAATTTATGCTGTAATGTGAACATAGTTTAAAGGTGGTTCTACTGTTCTCTGAAATTGTTTTATACATCCGTGTTCGTAAGGAATAGTAGCTTATGTCGAAAGCCTGGCTTTAGTATAATGCGGCATTCGCAGCATACGATTGCGAATGAGTCACTGGCGCCGATAACGTGCAAGAAATAGTTCCGATACTAGCAAGTCAATATTCTTATTAAAGCAGGGATCACACGATTTGTACATTTGTACACAAAATGCCAAATTTAGATTTGTCCACATTTGCGCATTTGGATAGCGATGTACAAATGATTTGTTTTGCGATCAGACGATTTGGTTGCTAAAGATCCAAATGATTTGGCACACAGCAGTAAAGTGACAAATATTGTCCACATTCATTCACACGATTAATCATTGCAGAGTGGCCAATTTTTCGAAAAAGCTGGCCAAAAGTCGAAGCGTGGTACAACTGTAATCAAATCTTGTGTATCCGTCTTTATTTTGGTTGCTGGTTTTAAATTTCACCACATAGTTTCGAAATTCAAAATCCATAATGGCCGCTGTGTACGCATAAAATAATCAGATTTTTATCAAAACTAGGGTAGTTAAGTGTAAAAGGTCATGTTTTCTCCTTTTTTGTTATATAATATGATGTAGCGGTTACAATGTACGCTATCATTCCGCAGGGGTCTGGGTTCAAGCCCAGTTTCCGACCAACATAAAAAATAAGAAACAAAAAAGTTTTTTTGTAATAGTGGTCGCCCTTTTACAGGCAATGGCAAACCCCCGAGTGTATTCAGCCACGGAGAACAGCTTCTCATAAAAATACAATCCCCGTTCGGATTCGGCGTAAAACTGTTGGGCCCTCCCCTTTGTGCGCCAACATCAAGGCGCACGCCACAAATCAGAAAGAAGCTCGGACAAACACTAACGAGGTTGATGTTCGGATCATCTAACAATGTTGATGTTCAAATTTACATGGGGGATAAATCAATAAACAAGACATACATATGTGTTGGTACAGGAATATATTTGTAATACAACAATTTTATACACTGTCTGAAGTATCCAAGCTCATATTAATATTTAATATTGTTCCATTCCATCATTTCTAAGACAACTGTACACTGCATCTGCAAGTCGTACGCAAATTGCAATTAATAATAAAAAGTTGTATGATTAGTTGAGAGTTGGTATATCGTACCTGTAATTTTACTACCTTCTCCAATCATGTTTTGTTTTTTACAAGAAAGCGTACAGTTGTTATGTTACTCTTCTCCCATTTTCTTTTTATAGTAGTAAGTAAATCTTTCACTTTACTTCTTTGATCTGGATGGAGCGTGATAGTTTTATTTTCTTTATCAGATAAATGTTCCTCCAGACTTTTGGTTTTTACACCCACTTCCAAATGCAATTGTTTAAACAATGCATCGAAAATTTCACGCCGAGTGCACTTTTAGTAGTACTTTCTGACATCATTTAAATTCTAAAAACATCCAATCTTTAAAACATCAAAATCTTGACAGAAATAATTTTTTACATAATTTAAATCTTTTAAACATAAAAAAAAATTAAGAATCGCGTATAAACACTGATGTTCAAACTACAGTGGCGGCTTGTGGCAGGTGGTTTTAACCAAGTTGGATGGGAAAAACTTCAATATATATGGAAAAGAAAATTAGACCGCCCATCTGGACCACTCTCATAACTATTTTCCTAATTTATCATAATGAGTAAACAAAAAAAATCAATCCGTGGATATCTATGTCTTACGTTAGTTTTTAGATGGCGTGACAATGAAAAAACATATTTTACATACTCTAGATTACAATATCCATGAACGGATGCTTGAAAACTGTAATTTTTTAAAGATAATACCACAACTTTAACAACGAAGAAAACTCTAATTTACGAAAAGTTTAGAGCGAATTGGTAGCAACAGTCACTTCGATCTCCTGTAACACTAAATGCATTAAGAGAATCGACTTGTTTTCTCACAACGATATGCAGTAGAGCCCTCTTAACAATATAAGATGGTTATGCATACGAATGCACCAATTTTTTCCGACTTTTGGCCAGGGTTTTCCAAAAATTGGCCACTGTGCATTGGGTCATAAATACTTAAACAGCTGAACTGGTGTCAATCATACTTTTACATTTATGATTTCGTTGGATTTGAAGTGAAATAAACAAAAATAATAAATACGAATAGGTACTCAGAGTTTTAAATACACCCTCAAAATCTGGGCTTAAGGCAAAAAACGGGTTTTTCATAAGTGAAAGCATATACTTGGTCGTAAATTGAGTTATATATGCTATCGTATTCTTCAAGTACTATTCCATGTGTATGTGAAATCCCCATCGCACCAGCTAAGCTATTTAAAAAGTTATAGACAAACATATTTGGCTTTCCTCATAAGGTTAACATTACAATCCAAATGTTTATAACATTTTTTCTCTAATTCAGGTTTTTCGACTTAGGCGGTTATTGCTTATGTGATATCTCACTTAAATTTTAGTACTAGAAAAAGTGCAGAACATATTGGTCAAAGTCGAATGTCTCAGCCAAACCCTAATGGATTTTGAAAATTTATAGATAGTTAAAAACACCACTGCTTCTTATATATGTACATTAAAGTAATAAATAAATAAATTAAGGGCCTTATTTTTGAAAATCGCAAATTTGCGGGTGCTACCCCTTGAAATGGTTACATTTATTGAAAAAGGAATTCCCCAAAAATTTTGGCCCAATTAATCAAGTCTAACCCGTGCCACACCCATTTGTCGACTTTAAAGCCGCTTTTGACAGCACTAAAAGGAGTTGCCTATACGCCGCTATGTCTGAATTTGGCATCCCCTCAAAACTCATACGGCTGTGTAAAATTACGTTGGAAAAGACCTCTCCGAGCCGTTCGCCACAAAACGGGGTTTCAGACAGGGCGACTCCCTTCCATGTGACTTCTTTAATCTGATGTTGGAGAAGATATTAAGAGCTGCACAACTGAACCCCTCTCAGAAACAATTTACTACAAGAGCGTGCAATTGCTGGCTTATGCCGATGACA